TGAAATGTTGTCGGCGCTACTAAACTTTGCTTCGTACATGTATTGTGACCTAATATCTGGCATGCAAAATATTGCTCGTATCATTCTCAGCAAATTTCCCCGGCGCCCCTCCGTGGTATATGCTATCTTGGTAGATGTGTTCACATTCGCAACCAATTCTTAAGAGTACGTGTATTCAGTTTCTCAGCCGGATCTGTGGAATTCAAAACTCTGGTGCGCACTCACAGAAACATTATCGTCTTAAAGCGCTGCAACTCCCGGTTATGGTCCTATGTTCACTCCGACACCCCATCATTTTAGTAAAACGTGCTAGGTGTGCACTTATTTTTAGTAATGTTCTGTCGCATGCTTCGTTTTCCCTTCGCCCTTCCCTCTTCACCTGGGTACTACCCCATATCGCCTCTTTGTTTCAGATTCGTTTAGTTTGGGCCTGCCGAAGGCTTGGGGTCCTCACACACAATGGACAATTTGGCTCCGGCAATGGTTGTTGGGCACGGCTGTTTCCACCGTTTTGACTACATGCGTCCGCGTTCCGGACCAAGTTGAGGATCACACCCCCTGCCTCACCTATATGGTGTTTTAAGGTTAGGTGTCTAGCGTGTAGTCAGTCCCACATCAAAGCGAACAACGTCTAATCAATCTAAATAAGCCAAATCACTGCTTGATCGATTGAAGCCTCGAACCCAATGAACTTATCTCCAGAAGCGAGTTGTATTGCAGCATAGAATGAAACATGTTCTTTTACCGACGTATTATTCTGGCTGTATGCCTTCCCTTCTATTCCTGTCCTCATGCCTCCATCATCATGCAGCATTCGTTCCACAGACCTCCTCTCCATATTTCCCCGCACTGTTGTTGTACGTCCAATCCTTCCGAGACCAGTTTTACCATTCCTTCCAGTTCTAGTGACATGCATTTTCAATGCATCCTCCATCTTCCATAAATTCGTCAATGACCTTGTCCGGTTTGTGTTTCTTTCATACTGTGTTTTCGTTCTGATCCCCACCATTTTTATTTCTACCTATGTATTTGCACTGTTATTGTACATGCTCGCTCTGATCATTTGATCATGCCTTGTGCATGTCTCACGGGCTCCGTGAAATATACACGTAGTGTTATCATTATTATTACCATTCAGTCTTTGCAAGGGAAACCACTGAGTAGAACAAATTTGGTTCACCACGACATAGACACAGGAGATACAAGACCAATCCGGCAGGCACCATAACGCGTACCCATCCACCGGTAAACAGAGTTGAACAACCTAATAGAAGAGATGCTCCAGCAAGACATCAGTAAACCGTCTAAGCCCCCTTGGGCCTCGCCAGTGGTCCTGGTTAGGAAGAAGGACGGGTCGTTACGCATGTGTGTGGACTTTTGGAAGCTGAACGCAGTCACACATACGGACTTGTTTCCACTGCCTCGTATTGATGATGCGCTGGACGCACTGCCAGGTTCTGAATGGTTTTCTACTTTGGATCTTGCTTCGGGAAATTGGCAGGTCGAGGTGAACCCCAAGATTGAGAAAAGACGGTTTTGCGATCTCTACTGGTCTATACGAGTTTAATACCATGCTCTTCTGATTAACAAACGCATCCGCGACGTTTCAAAGACTGATGCAGATAGTATTAACCTGTCTGTTACCAGCGAAATGTGTGTTTTACTTACACGATATCATTATCACCGGCAGCTCGATAGAGAACCACCTGCGACATTGAGGGAAGTTTTCGGGCGCCTACGGAAGGTAGGGTTACTACCAAACCCTAAGAAGTGAGTATTTCTCAAACAGGAGGTGAAATAATTAGAACACGTTATTTCGGCACAAGGAGTATGTAGCGACCCCGGCAAGGTCAAACATGTGCAGCAGAGGCCGACACCAACAAACTTGGAGGTGGTGAGAAGTTTTCTCGAGCTGGCAGGGTACTATCGAAGATTTGTCCCTCAGTTCTCTACGACTAGCGCCCCCATGACCGAACTGTTGAAGAAGGGGCAGACGTTCTATTGGAGTGACGATTGTTCAAAAGCATTTGGTCCACTAAAGGAATATCTATGCTCAGCCCCAATCCTTGCACTTCCAGATACTAATGCGGCGGCAGGTTAATTAGTGCTGGATACAGACTCCAGTGATGTTGGTATTGGAGCAGTTTTGTTACAAACATCCCCAGATCATACCGAAAGAGTTGTCGCTTACGGTAGTCGAACGCTAAATAAGAGTGAGCGCAACTACTGTACGACTCGAA